TTATGACTCCAACCTGTCATGACTGATAGGGAGAAGAGAATACAGTGCCTCTAACACCGATACGATGGAGAGGGGGAGCAGGAGGAGTCCATATCTGCATAATCTAAAAAAGTTTGGGGTTGCAAACAATTTATTAAAAACTTTAAACTGCTCCAGGCAGGATTTCTGTACAAAAATACACATTTTCTTATCATCATGAATCTTCAAAGTGGAGCTCTCTTAAAAAAGAAGAGCGTCCCACAAATGGTTGCACTGCATATCTGATGTGTGACTGTTTTGTTCCCCAATTTGCATTATTGATTGCCTGATTTTCTTTGCTTCCATTGTCCGGAACGTCGGGGAGAATCACAATTGAGGAATCGAAATTTGATAGCAGAGTCCCAAACTTGCTGTCAAACCGGCCACATTGCAGGCTCACATAGTGCTTGAGAATGCTGTATTCTGACTCAGGGCTTTCACACCGCAGTGCACACAGCAAGGCCATTATTCCAGGAGAGAACGGCTGTGCTCTCTCGGGCAGTCGCGCAAGTCATGGTGTCGAGCCCTGTGTTGATTTTCTCTGTAGGTTTTGCGGCCAAAAGTTCAACTAGAGGTAAAAAAGAAACAAATAACTTGTGAAAAAAGGCAGAATAACTTGACAATGTCAGTTATACAGCGTGGACTTATAGCTTGCATAGCTGCAAGCTCTGAAGAAGGAAATCATTACCAAAACATATGGAATAGCAAGTCTACGCTGCATAAGACTCGCTTTCTTTAGGTTAAAAGAAGTCTTGAGCAGTAGAGCAATCAGAGAGGATACCAAGTTGAATCAAGTAAAATGAATACTGTGATTGTTTACAATCTGCTGTAGTCCACAGCATCCTAGTTAGCTGATTTGTAGGAGTGTGTGCCGCTCTTCATTCTTCAATCATGTCGGAGCCCATCGGTCTCTGGGAGATAGTTGCTATATTTCTGGGGTTTCACAGTGTAGCCAGCGGCTATCCGTGACAAGACTTCCTCTTTTCGTGCGCTGCTTGTTGTCTTCAGTCCGATAAGCAACTTGAGATGAGAGACAACGTGTACTACCGACTTGTTTCACGAGTTGCCAGTTTACAAGCTGATTTGAAACCAATACAAATTTGAGAATTATCGCCAGTCGATAGCCGGTGAGTTCCTACAAAGACTGATTACCTGCATTCAACCAAAGCCTCCAAACGGAAACCAAAACGCTTCCGATACCAAAATCTTGTCCCGCTGCCTACAGAAATTTACCGTACGCTAACTATTCGCACTTGTGCATTTGGTCTGAAACCAGTCAGGTCCATTGATTAGAATCAAACCGGAGGGTAAACAAGAATGTTTGTAGGGAAGACTTTCTGTTGTGGCTTAGTTTGTAGTTTAGTTTGTAGTTTGTAAGTGCCTCTGGTTTGACAGGACAAGGACAGAACGGCTTGTTGTCTTGTCATGTATGACGTAGTCATGTGATGCACGAGTGATTTTCAACACTGAGAGACACTGAAGCCGCTGACTCCTCAGCCAAAAGACAGATTGACATAAACACAGGCAGATGGACGCACTGACTTATGAGATCAAACATGTAAACCTGACAGAGACCCTGACAAGAAAGACTGCATCACCATAAACAGATGGGAACCCTGGACGCCTGTCTCTCTCTCTGTGTGTGTGTGTCTCTTCTCTCTCTCTCTCTCTCTTTGGCGGGAGTTCAGCCGTTTTGTTGAGCAGAGGGAGAAAGTATGGAAGCTGTCAGGGGCCATATGACACTGCCTCTGCAGTTTACACATGGAGACAGAGAGAAAGAAAGATTGATGGCAAGGTCGTGGAGACAACACAGAGGACAGTGAATCTCATACATTTGTAGTTTTTGTGAAGTCGAGTCGTGTCGTGTGCGGTAAAGGTCAGTACTGTCTTCACCACTTGGCTGACCTAGATTCAAAAGGACCTTTATTTGTCCGTGTGATGGTGTGCACATTTGTGTGTGTGTGTGTGTGTGTGTGTGTGTGTGTGTGGGAGGCTTGCCACTGTCTCTGAATAATCCCCATGGTAGCGTTTGGTTTCTAGCATAAGTCAGAGAACAGTCAGGGACTCAGTTTGCAATACGCCTGACCTCCATCGGCTGCTCACAGTGCGCTTAAGACGACACGTGAAGTCACACTTACTGTATCCTCCTGCAAAATGTCTGCTTTCAAGGGTGCATGTGTATGTGTGCATGTGTGTATGTACATGAGATGCTTTAGCGCTCGCACACGCACACACGCACACACACACACACACACACACACACACACACACTAAGGCTCAACAGTTTAGTAATGATGGTAGTTTCGCAGAAAATGCTGCTGTCACATTAAGGAAAGGATTAAATTCTCTTTAAGCTTCTCTCACCAGGCTGCCTCTCTCCAGGTGGTTAACAGGAGAGGTATAATCTCCACACAAACACACACACACACACACACACACGGTGACAAGAACACAAAGCGAATTACAGGCTCTGAAACATAGCGTCTCAACATGCGGAAACTGTCTTGTAGAGGTGCAAAAAAATTCTGTACATGAATATACTTTCAGTCAAAAACATCCACATTAGACACATACGCCCTCATTGTGTGCTGTGTGGAGCGATGTGGCTGCAGTAATTAGAGGTGCGACAGCAAGACAGGAAGAGTTGGTGGTAATAGGATAGAGCTATTTCCGTTCTCCACTCTTTTGCTCTTCACCTCTCTGCCTTCTCTCTTTCTCTGACTTTCTCTTGCTCACATACTTTTTCACCGTCAAACACCAAACTCTGGTCCAGGTGGAACTGACATGTTCCTACACACATGCACAAACACACACATGCACATCACACTCACTCCCCCTCTCTCAAATCATTCCCCTCTTCTTACTCACTTATCTCTCGCTGTTTCACTTCTCTAAGCTACGTTTTCTTTGTTCCCTTGTGCGTGTTGAATTGACGTGATGTCAGCTTTTCCTCCGGCTTCATTATGTGTTGCAGTCAGTTCCTCCGTGTTGCGTTAAGGTAGATGTGTCACAATAGGCTTTGTCGTTTTTGCATCTGTGTGTTTGCATCTATCTTCCCTGAGGGTGATGTCATAATAAGCTATTCTCTGTTCTGCTAGCAAATAGATACATTAACATGTACTAATCTTATTAAAATAAAAATGTCCTTTATGCCAGAGAAAAAAAGTAGATAGTTGAAAGAAGATGCACCAAACACAAAGGTAAGATTCACCATGTTTTTTAAAATAAACATCACAGAAATGGATGTACATCCCCAATTATAAATAAATGACAAGTTTCTTATTTTATAAAGTCAGACCTGCGTTAATTGATTTGGTTTGCCACAGAGCAACAAGCTGTAAGATGAGATGATGTAGCAAAAATGTTTGCAAAGCGATGCTAAACTACACATCCAGCAGACACAGAACAACATTAGCAGTCATTTGGTTTGTTTCCACCTGGCGAAGCTCTTTTTAGCTCAGCTTTGGTCTCCACCAACTCCTGGGGGGGATATCTGGCTGTTTGGCTGCTAAATGTTTGGCTATAATCACCAGCTAGTTGCTCATTTAGTTGCCTGTCTGCTCATTGGTGATGGGCAGAGAGTGCAGTGAGTTGTTAGAACGTTTTCACTGAAAAGAGCTTCCTTGTGAGATCGGTGACAGTGAATCAAAACAACAAAATTACGAGTCGAAAACACAAGATGCTAAAATACTCCTTAGAGTTTAGGGGAACGTCGGATTCATCGATGTGGATGAGAGGTGTGGGAACATCAGTAGCCAGAAATTATAAATTTGATTTCATTTTTATTACCTCTGCAGTTTTATTTTACATCTGCAGTTTTTACTGTCTGCCGTTTATTCCCTCAATGCAGGTGTCACTTTCATGTAATCCCCATATGTTGCGATTGTATCCCTGTGGCTCTGTAGAACTAGAAGTGAGACAGGTGGGTAGAGACCAGGCCCATTTAATAACTGATTCTTTCAAATACAATGAATGAGCTATTCTTCTCTACGACCACAGTGCATTGTTCCCTTTAATGCGCGGCATGTGGAACTAAATCCTGATGTTGTTGCAATACCGCTATCGTCATTTTGTAAGTCTGACCATTATAAATAACTAAAGCAATGAATACCAGAATACACGTCTCTTGTAGCTTATCTGTGTCTCTTTGAGCTGGCAGCCATGTTTTATTTATTTGCATGTGTATCTGACAGCTGCTGACAGCGTTTCTGTGTGTTGGTTTGAACATGTCGTCGCAGCAGGTTTCCATTAGAGCAGTGCAGATTATCTGTCGTCGGGAGTGAGACTGCTCTGACCTTGAGGATCTTTCTAAGAATACATGTTGCACTGTGTGAAAGGAAGCTGCTTCAGTAGGCAGACATTTTTTCACCCCTCTTGGTAATTCATTTCACTCTCTCATCCCCCCGTGGAGATGTCATGACGTTTGGTCTGGAAGAACCTGAGCTTTCAAAGGACTGTCACATCTCATCTAAAACTACAGAAGCTCCACACTCGGTCTCAGAGCTTTTTGGCTTGAGACTGTCGGGGCTTTCACATCAGTAGTTTGGTTGGCTTAGTCATCACCAACCACGGAAAATGTAGATTTCAGGTGGACTTGAAAATCAGGTGGAGAGTGTCAGCCCTTTCAACAAATCCCCCAAAACATATGATACGTTCAAGCACGCGAGCAGATATAGAAATTATGATTGTGATCGTTTGGGGCAAAGGAGGTAGTTAGGAGCAGAATGTTTGTAGGTCGGGTTTCTTCTTTTAACCAATGACTGCGGCCTCTTTCTAACTGTAACCAATTAACCAGTTATTAATGTAATGTTTAAATTTGAGATTCGAGACTGGAGTTGGTGTTGAGAGACGACGTGTACGACTTAAGTAGTCAGTTTACAAGCTCATTTCAAACCAATAAAAAGCTACATCATTGTCAGACGATAGCTGATCGGTTCAGCTGACCCCTGCAGGAGGTGCATAAATACATATGTATTTGTGCACTACTGTGTTGAATAAATCCATGTTTCCTCTTTGTGTGTTGGTGCATGCACGTGTTTCTGTGTGTGTGTTTGCAAACACTAACAAACTTCCACATCACAAGCAGACCCCCCACTGCTGTGCTAAGATGCATCAAAGCATCTGCAGAGTTACTTCAGGCTGCCCAACGGCAAAACTTCCTCTAAGCCCAGTCCGACATTATAGGGTCGGATTTAGAGGTGTGTGTGTGTGTGTGTGTGTGTTTGCGTGTGTTGATGAATTTGTGTGTGCGTGGATTTCTGTGTAGCCCTCCACTTCTGGCTCATGACAAGCTATGCATGCAAAAGAAAGTGGGTTGACAGGACACAGCAGATCAGAAGTTTGCAATTTGTTTGGCTTGGAATAAAAAAGAAAGACTCTTATAAACATCTGCAGAAGAGGAGTCAGCGGTTTGTTTTCAGCTTTTTTTACGATTCACTCCACTCCAGTTCTAGCTTCTGCCGGAGAAGCTTGAAGAAGAAAGAAAGGAAGTTGGGGAAAAGACGGCGCAATGGAGGTGAAGAACAACCAGCAAGACCAACATCTACAAGTCTGCTTTCCAACAAAATCACGATATTTTGGGGCTTTCAACACACTATCTTATTATAGCACGTGGTTGTGCATGATTGAGCAAAACTGCTGATTTGGGAGCTATTTATTCACACACACACACACACACACACAAACACACACTCTCTTTTGTCCGTGGGAGGCCTGGGATGCCCACTGTGGAAAAGATGTTAGTCTGGTATCCTCTGCTCCCCTCCATTAGTAGCTCGAGTTTTGCTGTCAGCCAATCATCCACCTCCCTCACATGTCCACCCATATCCTGTTCTGGAAAGGATGTGTGTGTGTGTATGTGTGCGTGTGTCACTATTCAAATGTGGAAACACTAACTTGCACAAACTTCAGCCAGATAAAGGATCAATAAGTCAGACAGACTCGACTAACATGCTGAACAGAGCAACCCTCTGTCCCGGCACCTTCTCTACAACTAGGAGATGGAGAGAGGGGATGGCAGGTTAACAAGGGGGATGGCAGGTTAACCCCCCCACCCCCCAAATTATCCTGTACTGTTTATAATTATGAAATAATCTTACCACAACAGGCTTAATTATCTTTTATTAACAAATCCCCTTTTGTTTTAGAAAAAAAAAAAAAATACAATTAAAAGTACACAAAAAGCTCAAACGATCATTGACATGGAGTGGCTCGACCCTGACAGGAAGAATACAGCAGAAAACAGACATTCTTCTTATTTGAAAGTCTACATAAGTCGGTCAGAGTTGTATTTGCTACATCATGCAAGGCACTGAAAATTCCTTCAAAGGAACAAAAACCCACATAAGAAGTGAGTGAATCACGCACGTAATTATAACTATAGAAAATAACCGAGTTTGCAGTATTTAGCCGAGGTCTGGCATACGATGCCCGACTATATACAGGATACTCCCTTCAAACGTTATTTATATTAACAAAATCAAGACAATACATCGTTTTTTGTTGCATTTGTACTACATAACCGATAAAGAGTTTTGTTGCACAATAGTAACTTATTTTATTAGGCTTAGGTTTAGGCTAAGCCTTCAATAGGCTGAAGTTCACAGTTTCAAAAACACATTACGAAAGGATCTCTTAATGGTTTGTAGTTTGTATGTGGTAACAAAAACGACGTGAATCAAAAATAAACTTGTGTTTGTTTTTGCAGTACGTCTCCGAGGTTTTCTCAAGAGAGGTTTTGGATTCACAATACAGACATTTTGTCAGAATTAGTCACAGTAAACACAAAGCTGTTTTACCAGTGTTCCACAGAGAAAAAAAAAATAAAATAGAAAGACAAATAACTGCATCTCATAACAATGTAAGTGTCTAAACTTGTATATTACAGCATTGTAATATCTCAAAGAGATCCGCATTGGCAAAAGTACTGATACAGTACAGGATAGCCACATATCACCACGGAGAGCAACAACTAAATAACTATAAAAATCCGTATGAAGAAGGCATTTGTGAAGAATCTATTAAACCGCAGGAGTTATCTGTTCCTATAATAACGTGTGTACACATGCAGAAAACAAAAACGAGTGCAAATGGAAAGGGAGTGAAACTGCACTACGGTTACTGTACATGCTTCGAGGAGACACGAAGCCTTGCGGGCACAAAGTGTAGAGCTCTGATCGAGCTGTGTAGTTCATCTAAGATGAAGTGACATTACTCCCATATTTACATTCAGAAGACTTCAAACCAGAGACATTCATTCATCTATACAGTTGCATTATTTCAGGTAACAAAATAAGTGCAATTCTTTTAAAAAACATTTTGAATGTGGACAAATATTAAACATCAATCTAATATTTAACATTGAACAATATTTTGTTATCAATATCTGCAGGAATCTGAAATGTCAATTTGTTTGAAATGTATGCGGTTTAAAATGTTTATTCTGAATAGAATGCAGGTAACGTCACTCCTGCTCTGAACGCAGCTAAACCAAAAATAATTGGTTGAAAAAAGTATTTTTTCCTACCTTGACAGATTATAAACTACAAACAATTGTCATCAGTCTCATTTTAGCACTTCCTGGTTGTGGTCGCCCGTGCTGCAGCTTGATTGGCTGTCTTGAGGAAAGCATTATTTGAATCTTGACACTGGTACATTTTGAACACTATCCCTTTTGTCCACAGGGGCCACCAAAATCAACACAAAATATGAGTTCCTTGTGTTATGTATGTAATGTCCTTTTCATTAATAGCAAATAGGATGAAACGATAGTAACGCATTTAATGCAGTAGCCTGCACAAGAACCAACATTATGTCTAAAACGTGGAGACTGTAACTGTCACAATGCTGCAGAAACTGATACGAAAAACATGAGATTCAGAATCACAACATCTTCTGAATTTATAGCATCAGAGTGCAGCTCGTCTGGATGATGTTGCTAGACAATCATTGTCTTTCACCTAAACTTATTGGTTATTGATTGGCTGTAGTGGTAAACTATTGATTATCATTACTACACAAGGCCACTAAGGATTTGCACTCCTAATTAGACCAAGGTCAAACTGATGCATTCCCTGTAACACGGTGACAAGAACAGATGAGATTCGTTTATATGTCAGCAGCGGGTTCACGGCTCAGTTAAAAGTGTCTCATCAATATTCGGATCAAAATCCACAGCAGTCCCTCTTTGTGTTGACAAAACTGTTGCTAAAGCAGCAAGAACAGATATAGGACCTGCCTAGTAAGTGTCTGCTCACAAATCAATACACCAGCGTGTAAATTAAATAAATAAAGGTCAAAGCGCTTAAAGATTCAATACACCAGTGTGTGAGAAGACTCAGAAAGAGTGCTCTAATCAGATACTGACGCCTCAGCAGTAAATTACATGTTTTTGGTGCATGTGTGTGACTGTGTGAGTGAGTGCAACTGAGCCCCGTATTTGTTTCTCGACTGCTGTAGGCTATAGGCAGGAGTCCCAGTGTATCGGCAGGTTGGAGCTGTCCAGGAAGTCCGTGGAAAAGACACTAGTGGGTGTTTGGGGGCCAAGTGGGGCCAGCGTGGTGGTTTCCTCTCCCCTCTCTCCTCCCATGGTGAGGTCCAACCAATCCATACTGTCCAACCCATGCTCCTCCTCCATATCCAGGTCGAAGGTATCCATGGGAGACAAGGGATGGTCCAGGATGCTGGGGGTGCACAGCATTTCACTGTGGAGGTCATCAATCAAAGTCAACAGGCCTCCAGGCTCCACCCCCAGCAGAGGCTTACCGGTGGTGCTCTCGAGAAAGTCCTCCAGGCGGCCACTCTCAGCGCTGCCGAGGTGCCGTTCCTCGTCCACGGTGTCGGCCAGAGTCTGGAGATCAGACTGCATCGAGGAGGCCGACTGTTGGGTGTCACAAAACGGAGGTATGGTGGGGGATAGCATCAGCTGGAATGGGGAGGGGTGAGGAGAAGAGGAAGAGGAGTGTGGATTCAGACGGTCCAGAGAAGGGTCTGGCGCCGGGTGGAAAGCTGTCGACATTTCTGAAGAGAAAGACACAGAATTAAACCAGAATCACCACCGTCCGGTCAAGTTGCAGTTCACACCCTTGTCTGTCCAAAATATCATTATCCTCCATCCATCATTAGAGATTTGCGTGAAATCGTCATAATTAGAAGGTGAATTCGACAGTTATGGACACATGTTTTCAGAGGTCACAGAGGCGTTCCGGCGATATCACCTTTACGAGAATAGACCGGACGGATAACAGCACAAAGGCATAGAAACTAAATATTAACGACAGATCGGAGAATATTATTGCATCTTACCTCCTGTCTGCAAAATGATGTCAATAAAATCCTCTTCATGCTCTGTATCCTGAGGACACACACACACACACACACAGAGGAAACAACACATTAACCTTCAAAACTGTGTGTAAAGTTCACATAGCACATTACTATGTGACTCGTGCACTTGAAGTGAAATGTGAAATGATGCGAAACGACGTATGAAACCGAAATGCAGAGCGACACAGCTTATGTAGCGTAATGTAGGTTAGCAAAACCTAAGAAACACCCCCGAGGTGTTCGAATCACACATTTGAGATTGTGAACATTTCATTCATTCTTGCACAATAGGCACCATCAGACATGGAGTGTGTCATACTTTGTCATCAGGCGATGAGGCAGCTGTCTCGTTGGAAGCTGGAGACAGAGGACTAAACAAGGCATCCAGACTGGGACACCGCTCCTGGAGGAGAGGGGAATGAAGGGGAAGCCAGATATGGGGCAGGGGGGGGGGGGGGTTAGATTCTTTCACATCCAAAGTGATCAGGAAAGTTTTACAATGTTGACTGGATGACACGAGTCCCCATCTGGAGATTACTCACAGTTTGAGAGGATGGTGAAGAGGTGTTTTTCTCTGAGGGGGCGGTTTCCTGGTCCTTGAAGGAAGGCTGCGGACCGGGAGGTGCTGACAAACACAGAACAACGTCCTGCTGAGGCTGCTCTACAGAGACCTCAAGTGCCCCGTTCTGTGGCTTCAAGTCATCACAAAGAGGGGAAAGATGAGTTCTCCTTACAGGGAAAACAGTATGCAGAGGCAGCGGTACTAGTTATTTCACTAACTAGTACCGCTGCCAATTGAAATCATCAGTAATCTCTATTAAGAGTGTGATAAGAGGGCTACAAGACTGCTGATACCTGCTGAAAACACAGTCTTCCACCAAATCTTGACATTTTCCAGCACACCTGCACTCGCCGAGAGATACCGTACATCTCAATTAGCCAAGCTGCGATGGAGTTTTTGTCCGTCCTCCATTAAGAACATACATCATAGTAATGGACGATGTCGTTGGAGTAATTAGCCGAGCAATAATAATAATCAGCATCGGGCTAGTGTCAAGACACTCTTATCAGAGACTTCCGTCACTGTCTGGAACGGCATACGTCATTAATTTCCACTGCTACTGGAATCAGTGGAGCAGTTTTCTCTCACTCTCACTCTTTAGGAAGTATTAACATTAGCAGACTGTTCTGCCATTGCTTCAGTGACGGGGGGGCTCCGAGTTAGAGAATGAAGTGTGCATGTAGTATGATGAGGGTCCATGAAATGTGTAAAAAAAAGAGACAATGTAAGGGCTCACATCTGCTGTTGAGTGACTATTTGTGTTGGCAGAACTTTTTAAAAGGCCAGTTCACCTAAATAGAAGAAAAGGCAACACACACACATTGTTCTCACCTGCCCCTCGTCAGAGCAAGCCAAATACATAGTTTCCGTTTTGAGGTATTGATCAATGAGATTTATGCTACCACCCAAATACACGACGATAACCGTGATATTTAAAAAAAACATGTTAATACCCGACACATATGATGATATTGTGTAAACAATCCAGCGGCTCTTAAACCACATTTTAATACAATTTACAGAATCTCTCCACCTCCCTACACTATAACACTTTGAGTATAATTCATTTGCATACAAAAGAGACAATTACAATGTTCTATCGGTATCGCAATATTGTTATAATTAATTATTTTTTCCACGATAATAGTGTAGTGAAAATCTGAAAATCCAAGCCATAATATACGTACATCTTGCATCTTTCAAAGGTTTTCCTGTTGTACGATGCTACTTCAGTTACTTTCATGCCAGATAATTCAGATCATCAGTGTCTTTCTTTAAACCTCACCTTTGTCTCTTGTTGTTTGAAAAATGCTTTGTGCATACTCTGTTTGGTTTGATTAACAGGGTTGTGGTCAGGGAGCCTGGCTGGAGTAGACTGTAGTCGCTATTGGAAAAAGAAACAGTGTAGTTAGTATTAGTATAAGATATTATTATAATAAAAAGAGTACATCAGCATTCAAACATCACCAGATGTACCATTATTGTGTTTTTATCATTCCATAAACATTATTCTTGGATATTGTGTCGCTCTTCTTTGTTAATTGATTAACCTGTGATTATACTCCTCTAACATCATGCACACAGATGAGTCATGTACCTGCAGTGCGATCTGATTGGTTGCTTTGCTCCCAGGTGCATCGGTCCCTTGGTTCTCAGTGATGTGACTGGTCAGCGCCACCAGGAATTGGTTGCCGTTGCTGTCTGTGACCAGAGTCGTGGTGGAGTTGCTCTTGAGGAGGTCCAGTGGGAAAGAAGGGACTGAGTGCTGGTTGAAGGACGCTTGAGACACCTGCACAAAAACCCAGGAGAACTTTTAGAGAGAGCATCAGCGTTTGTGTACAGTTTTGCTTTACATTTCTTATCGGCGTGCCAACAATTCGACTCATCTTGATCTTGTGATTCAACAAATTCAATGCTGTCCAGCTGCGCTTGTTAAATTCTATAATATTCTAAAAATCTGACCAGATCAAGAGACCATCAGGAGCATGCTAAATGGCAGAACTTTCTCAGAGTCAATGTGGCGTAAATGATATTATGAAACCCACTCCTGACCTGTGGCGGCTGCTGTTGCGCCTGTTGTTTCTGTTGTATCAGCACCTGTTGTTGCTTCAGCTGGATCTTTGTCTGTATCTGGATTTGTTGCAGTTGTTTAGTCTGCTGCTGCTGTAAAAATGAATTCTGCTGCTTCAGCAGAATCTGTTGCTTTAGCTGCATCTGCTGGTGATGTTGCTTTGACTGCTGCTGGTGCTGCTGCTGCTGTGACTGCAACAGTTGCTGCTGCAGCTGTAGTTGTTTGAGATGCTGTTTGTGAGACTTCTTCTTTCTCTGCTGAGAAAGTTTTTGCAGGCTTTCCGGCATCTGACTGCGGTTCTGAATGACCGTCTGCTCGTTCTGAAAGCTGCGTTGTTGCTGCAGCAAAAGTTTCTGTATGGCCTGTTGCTGGGCCAGCTGCAGAGCGGTTTGCTGCAGAGATACGTGTTGTTGTTGTTTTGTCTGTGTGCTCATCTGCTCCGGCTTGATTTGGAGCTGAACCTGCTCGTGTCCCTCCCGAGTCCGAGCCAAAGACCACGGTATTCCATGAATTTTTCGTAATTGCATCGTTGTCCCGCACGCAACGTCCTCTGCCTCGATTGCTTCCTGTTTGACAGTAACCTTGATAACATCCATCTCACAAACGGATGGTGGTGGAGGAGGGGAGAATGGTGGATGGCCAAAAGAGAGAGGGACACTGGGTCCATCAGGAGGTTCTTGTTTAACTCTTACGAGAACCAGCGGCTCCGGTCCTCCTCGGTTCCCGTGCTCCAGCTGCATCCTCAGCACCTCCACCAGCCTCTGGTTCTGCCTCAGCATCCTGGTCAACTCCTCGATCTGCTTGTCTTTCTCCTGCAGCATCCTGTCCTTGTCCACACTCACCACTGGAGCAGTGGCTGTCGTGGCGAGGGCCGTCGATGGGACCAGGCAGTGTTTCTGCAGAGAGGCCTGCTTCAAAGAGAACCGAGATGGCGCTAGCCCGGAACACTTCAGCTCCTCTTTAATGCTGGTTGCAAGCTGAGCAGCTGAACATGGCGGAAGGCTCACCTGGGTGATATGTGAACTCATCTAGACAGAAAGAGAGAAAAATGAAAACAGGTAAACATACAGTGGGATGAAAACCAAGAGTGTACAGCCTAAGCTTGCCTGAGCTTAATGCTAATGTTTTTATGGTATAAAGTTTACCATATTCACCATCTTAGTTTAGCATGTTAGCCTTTTATTAGATTAGCCAATTAGCACTAAACAAAGCTGCGGCTGACGGGAATGTCATTCGTCTTGCAGGTTTTTAGTAAACTAAAGATTTTTACAAATCTTGATTGTGCTATTTTGAGACACCATTAAGTTATAATTATTCATATTTAAATACACCCTCGTACTTAATATAGGCATTCTTAAAATAAATTTGACCAAATGTTAGGTCACTATTTCAGATAGGATTATTAAAAAAGTATATTAAACAAGTATCTGCAGTACAATAAATGTATATTAATAGTTGTCTAACGGATATTAGGTAAAACAATTTAAGTATACTCAAAGTAAATGAAAGTCCATCATTACCTCAAATATACTTAAAGATACATTTCATTACAAATTAACGGTGTCTTGTAATTTAGTAGTTATATATCGTAAAAGGTGCAAAAGTCGAAATTCAGAGCTTTATTATAAAAGTGAACAACCATTTCCTATGCAAAGACACTGTATAGAGGACTAATGTCTACCTGAGCAGAGAATGAAGTCTCCCTTTGTGTGTTGTTATTTGAGCTTTGTTTACTTAGCCGGGACGGCCACACATGCTTTTAGGGCACACGAGTCTCGAGGCTGGCATATCGCCACCGCTCTGCCATGAGTTCATACGGCTGTTATAGCTGATAACGCCGTCACGACCCTCACTGAGGTTATGTCAATGTGTTACAACAACAAAAACATTCTGACCATTTCCGCCAAGGGGTCGCTGTTAAAGCTGCTATCTTCTGGGCTCATGGCGCCCGGCGAGCAGTCGGAGTGTGTGAGTGAGGCGGTCGGGGGGGACGCGGTGCCTCCACAGGTCATGAGCTGCTGAGGAGTGGCTGCAGAGCTACCTGCATCAGCTATACAGAGAGTAAGATACAAAGATAATCAATTATCGACACGGTTTTCTTACGTCTTCCTGATCTTTTAACACTTGAATACAGAATTTTATGAAGAGAGGTGATTGAAGAAGTACATATACATTTTTTGTTTGACTAACCAGTCAAAGAGGATGTCTGATGGCACTGAAACTGTTGCTGTCGTTGTGATGTGTTGTTGGGGGTTGCCGCAGCAGTTTTGGAGGATTTTCCTGCTCCCTCGGCCCCTGGCCCTGTGGTACCCCCTGCTGTTGGAGAGGAGGTAGTGTCACTGCCTCCATTCAGCTCCTGGTAGGTCCTCAGCCTCTCGATGAGGTCGTTTTTGGTTCCGGAGACTGGCAAGCTGCGCAGCTTCAACTCGGACTTCAGTTCCGTGACCTGACAGAAGACGGATTAACAGAGAAATTAAGACTGACGGACGAGAGCGAAGAAAAGCAAAGAGATGGGGATAAAGAGCCGAGGAAAATTGAAATGGATTTAACGGAAAAGAAGAAAGAAAAACAAAAAGACAGACTAATCCATCACTGCCCCATTCTTTGGCAGCTCTGAGTTGGCTGGCCACCTATCTGGGACAACATTTTGTCAACAGAGAATCTTTGACATATGTCAACACCCGTTGCTCCATTGACTCGTAGCTTATAGACAGCAGAGAGAGCTGTTGCTCTCACTATACCGAGAGAATGACACATAAGATATGGATCATAAACTAACCAAGCTGTTTTCTCTTGGATCGGTATGTTGCTGTGCAGCTAACCTTCATTTCATCCAGGTTCGGAGGTAAAGAGACAGGCCTTGTCCCACGCAGAGCAGCAGAACTCTGACGGATGTGTCCGCCCTGGTGAGAGGGAGCTTTTGAAGGGGCAGCGACAGGTCGAGGAGGGGAGGAAGTAGTCGTGGAAATGGAGGAGGAAGAGGAAGATGGCTGCTGATCTGTGTGAGGTCTGTTGGAGAGAAAGTCAGAGAAGGTCTTTACACAAGATACCAGCCCCCCCCAGGTGTTACTGCACACTACAAGCTTGAGCATCCACACACACACACACACACACACACACACACAAAAAACATACTTGGGTGGTGCAGGCAGGATGGCGTGGTAGTTATAGTGCTGCTGCTGCTGACTGAGGATCTGGAGCTGCAAGAAGAGCTGCTGCTGCTGGAGGATTTTGGCATAAGATGAGTCCAGATGGGGAGGAGGCTCTTTATCTCCCTTCTGGTCAGGAGGGATGTACTGATGGTACTTTAACTTTTTAATCTAGAAGGCAACACATTAACAGTACAGCAAATAACCCATTTATTGCTGCTCCTATGACTCATTTGTTTCCTCTTGGGCTTAAATCTACCTTTGGCTTGTTGTCCTTAGGTTTCTTGTGTCTTTGTGCAGAGCGGTCAAAGTTTGGTTTAGGCTGGGACTGAAAAAAAGAGAAGGGATGCAAGTGTCGACTGTAAACTTTTATACAACAACATCAATCAATGTAATGTCTGGTAGGCACTTTCCTCGAAGCTCTGTTTTGGTCTCTACTAAACTCCCGAGGGAAATATCTGACTCTTTAGCTGCGAAATGCTACAATATGTCCACCAGCTGGTCACTAACTTTGTCTGTCTTGCGTTTGGTGTTGCGTAGGTAGCATAAAGTGAGATTTAAGAGGTTTTATTGTTGTTTGCTGCTGCCGGAAACAGGTTGACCGTAAAACCCAAACAATGAGCTGAAAGACGCTACAACGGTCCGTAGAGCTGATGGGAACTACAGAGACGGGCGATCATCCTTAATGCACTGTACATCACTACAAGTGGCCGCTGTCTTATTACACAAAGTCATTTGATCCATTGTTAATGTAAAAATATTGATTAGAGCAGCTTAATATCAGAGCATCAAGCATAGTTTACATGGCTTCTATATTAATATTGATTGCTTGTGGACAGATGTCACTTACCTTGATCTGTGAAGTCGCTGCTGTCCTCTGGGCGGATGATGCTGCCGTCCCATTGGTCAACTTGAATGCGGGGGAGGATCCAGAGATTGGTGGGAAAGCAAGAGCAGTAGGAGAGACCTAATTGATAAGATAAAAATGTACTTAAAATGAGCAAAAGTAATCCCCGATGGCTGCACCATGGCCTCACCGAGAGCTAGACCAATACATCAGCCAGGCCTAAATATCGCCCGATATATAGACTATTTGAGAAATATCAAAATTCCCATGACATGACATAGGGAAGCTTCATGCTACACAAGAGTTTGCTATTATACTGGATATTACAATCTTGCATCCATGACACACAACATGTACGTAAGTCACACAGAGTCGGGAGTGATCCTACCTGTGTGGGAGATGGGACGCTGCTGCCAGCCAGCGTCTCTGGTGGAGAGGGCAGAGGCAGCAGACCCAGAGGAGACTCCAGGCTCACCGGCTCTTCTGGAGACAGACTGTAATTGCTGTCGTCGTCACATGACGAGTTTTCACCTGAAGCCTTTGGAAACCGTGTCTCTGAGAGGCAGAGAAGGGAGGAAAGGGTAGCTATCAAGGCAGATGAAGTCATAAATGCTACTAGTTTTTACAGGTGTTGAGCCAGTGGTTTCATCCTTACAATCCAAACTGCACTGTGCCACTGAACTAACACCCTGTTAGCATCATTTAAGTCATAATTATCACCAGCATGTCCTCTACAAGTATCAGCAAACACATCACGGCATGTGCAAGCCAAGGCCTGTAAAATTCGACAAAGAAACACACACAAGTTTCTTCTCAGATGTCTGCTCCAGAACTGTCAACTAGTGCATTTATGTGATGGCTGCTGCAGAGAAACCTAAATGCTTGTCCTCTCTGTCTGCACATCGTGCCCATAAAAGACAGTTTTAGGTGATATCTTCACTGAACAAAAAAAAGTGCTTCTTCTGTCCTTTATCCCAGTAATAGTTTCCATTCATCCAAGTTCACTTCCAGTGCCGCCAAGTAAGCACGGCCACCTCAGTCCTACTGGTTTTCATGTGACAGATGGCGTCTGTCTTGAGTGAATGACGGTATGCTGAGAATTCTGGAGGATCAGTTACGCAATTCATGCTCTGAATGCATTAACGGTTTGTGTGAGGGCTCCTACTAATGATATTCTCTCTACAAAAATGAAAGTAGCCAAATTATATAAAACTGATTTATAAATCAATCATAAATTATTATTTTTTTAAACTAACTGTGCAAAAACGTGTCAACCAAAAGGACAAATGTCTCTGTATTAGCCAGAGTGAGCATCAGGTTGAAACGTCCTCCAGCACAGGAATGAATCCAAGTTGTGGTCCTGCTAATATTCCCCTCGGCGATATCACATAATCATTTCATTATTATGCCGACTATTGAGGCTTTACGGGGATTTAAGGAGGAAAATGTAGCTGCTAAGCTCTAAGACAGAGACTTTCCTTTTTGCTGGTGGATGTGTGTTATTTAATTACAGGAGCTGCTATGGAGTGTAGCAGATAGCGATGTAAAATACACCGCTGGTCATTAATCTAACATCAGCGGGCGATGATGAAAAGACAACATGGGGCTGATTCAACACCCTTTGATCCAATAATGTGATGAGTTCCTTACTGCCGCCTGCCTGTGTGTGTGTGTCGCACCTTGTATGTTTGCATCTTTGCATGTCAAACGAGTGTAACTCTTGTGTTCCCAGTTCTCCCACAATAATTGCCGGCAATGCAATTGTGTTTACTGTGCGGCTGTGACAGCGATGGATAATCCACCGACGCTGAACGTTATTAAATCTCAGAGTTCTTTCCTCCACACATCAATCAAGCAGCTGGACCCACCGACTCTGATCTCATCATCTAATGTCTGACAGCACTGGACCGGAGATGTACGATAACAGTTTAACAGCTTCTTTTATTGTTGCTGTTATAACGGAAAAGGGGTGAAATTGGGGTCATTACATCTGTCATATGCCCAAATTGCGACTGATTAAAATCCCATTCATTCATTTAGAGTCCTAACTCTTCAATTAGTGTGTCATTTTCCTAATAAAAGACAATGAGTTTTTATTAACAGGTAATGCGGCCATCTAAGACTGACAGCAGAGAGGGAAGGGTGTTCACTTCCTGTCTGTCAAGCAGAGATGCCAGGGCATACATCATTTACTCTATTCTAGTTTAACATCTGTGGCTGTTTGAAGCATGATTAGTCAGGTGGGGGAGTGTGTGTAACCTGGTTGTTGTCTACATATTAGATTGGAACGTGCATTTGTTTCAAGTGTGTATCGCCAGGTATCTGTGTGTGTGTGTGTGTGTGTGTGTGCGTGGCGAGGGAGAATCAGTATGTTCATGACAGCTGGAGGAGGGGGGCCAGGAGGGGCCACCTGTCAGGAGAATTAAACTGTGGGTGTGTTGTGATATATTACACTTTCACATTGATATTACACCTCCCTCCTCCACATATACGCGGGGCATATTGTGTTTAAAGGTGTTTTCAGTATTTCGTGGCCTCTAGGGAGCAGAAAAACAACAAAACAGGCTGAGCAATGTAAAGCCACAATTACATTAAAGGCTCATAAAGTTGTATTAAACCAACATGTCTGGAAATGTTGACTAGTTACACCCCCAGCCTGAAACCAGCCTCCACTACTACAGTACATCTTTACTAAATGACAAATATAATCCATCTGACACCTGGCCTGGCTTACCTATGATAGCCTGCTTAATGCTGGAGTGAACAGGCAGGATGTTTTTGTGGATCAGCTCCATGGGCCCCGGCCGGTGGGAGATCTTATCGTTCAAATCATCGGCAATGCGAGCTCTCTTCAGCTGCAGCTGCCTGGCCTGAAGCGACGGCTCCGCCAACGTCTCTGGAAGCGCGGCAGAAACAAAACGATGTACATTTTGGTTTTTGCCAGTGTGTTTTGGGAGCCTTCTGAGTTATTTGCCGTCAGACGGACAGGAGGCCGTGTGCGGCACTCACCCTCAAGGATGTGCATCCTGATCAGCTCGGATCGCTCCGGTCGAGCCCTGATCTTCCTCTTGAGATAGTCCTCAGTCTGGAGAAAGACGGAGGAAAACATTGAGACAATCACTCACATTTGGATTTATACCACCTGCTTATAATTTTCCCCATAACTCATTCTCTCACCAACATTTCATCTGTCCATGACTTCTCAAGGTCAAACCCAGATTTCCTCTTTTGCAATCATCACCAACTGTACATGATATACCATTTAGAGCAGTAGTCACCAACTGTTCTCAAGCAACCCATCATTGACACCAATATTTGTTTCTATTTATCTTACTAACTTTCAATGCACATCGCACTTTACAATATAAAAAGCATATTTGTCTGTGCAGCTGGTGTTTATCTCAGCGCATATTTGTCATTTCCAGCCCTTCTGTATTTACATTATTATTCAAGCGATGCTGTTATGATGTCAGATGGTACAAAGCCTAGAGATTGAATGTCTGCTTGAAACAGGCACGTTTTGAGTCCACCGATAGATTCGAGGATGAGATACTCACCCGAGCTCGTTCCAAGCTCCGTCTCTGTTCGTGGAAGGAAGCTGAACTTTTCAGGGCTTGAAGAATAAAGAGTGAGATCAGAGCAAAAGCGGGGAGAAAGAGAGAGAGAGAGAGGGGACATTATCATGGCAGTGTGTACATTCATGCCATTGAGGGGAATGGAGAGCCAAAGGGCTTTGAATGTCTCTTTGCTTCTACAGTTCAGCTCCAGTTCAGTTTGAACAGGTTAAACTGATGGTGAGGGATATTGCTCTTACATTGCCAAAGCTTTCCCTTTCTCTCATTTTGAGTGCCATGCCAGCGTAGTAAATGCTTGCTCTCGCTGTACAGACTCACACATTTACATTCTATGACAGAACAAAATGCACAATAGCCTGGGCAGTGGTTCCACTAGCAGGTAGAGGTGTAATGGGACGGACTCCGAGGGTTCCAGTCCAGCGAGTCTCTTTACAGCGGTGAAATTTATGGAATCTGTTCAGCATTCCCAAATGACTCAAGCAAGACTTGCTGCAGGCCTATGATTATGCAAAAACCCAGGGATTAGTGGTGCTAGACACCTAACAGCCTAAAGGGTTGTGATGACACCAAAATGCTGAGTTAAATGCAGCATATCAGTACAGGCTTTATGATGTCGCTTCTAAAACAAGAATGTAAACCTCAAATATATTAAATCATGTTATATTGCATGTAAGAATGAATATATATATATATATATTTTTTTTTTTTAAATTGAAAGACAAGAGACAATACATATACATAACAACAAGATGATGACAAGAACAGTGGGATAAAAGCCAGCAAACATCCTATAGTCAGTCATTTTAGTGCACCTATATGCTGAAATTCACGGTAAATGCATTTAAACGGCACAGATCGGGAGCGAGCGAAGGACTTTGAAAGTTAGCGGAAAGATTAACGTGAGACAACATCCGGTTTCTTCAGACGAACATCCGGTTTTCAGAATAAGATGCCAACAAAGTATGAATTATATTCACATTAAGTATAAAACATGCTACCTGCATCTCGTGAGCCAAATGTTATTGCCCTTTTGTTCATATAGCAGTACTTTTAAAATAAAAGTGCACAATACACTACTTTTGAATTCATGACAGGCCTAATCACTCTTAAGCAGCATAATGTACCAAATAGCACTTGTGAAGCTTGCTATACAATGGATGCAGCTAAAATGGTTAAAGGTGGTGTACTTTCACAAGCTTCTTGAAGGTGATGTATATCACCAAGTTATAACATGTACGTCCAACCTTTTTTGCTTATCGTGTTTTATGCATGCACATAAACAACTAAAGCAAGCTAACTTTCTCAGAGTGCAACACAAACACAATGAAGGACCAACACGCTGCTGTGTACGGTGAAATGTGTTTTGCCGATTTGGCTCTCCGTCGGCACGCTGGAATTGAAACCAACCAAAGACTGAGAGGTTAATGGGGGCATCCACATCCATATTGGGTGGGGAGTGTGTGATTTGTGGCCTTTTGTGTCACAGTTCCACAACTCTATAGACAAAAGTGTTGCCTTGTTTGTATCTCAAACATGCAGACAAGTCAACAAATACGTTTTTAAAGGCCAAACAATGTATGGTGTAATTGTGATTGGCCAAGTCAGTTAATTTCAACTCCAATGTGTTGCTGTCCTCATACTTTCTGACTGCACTGTACGCAGACACGCACGCACGCACGCGCACACACACACACACACACACACACACACACACACGCGCGCGCACACGCACACACTCACACACACACGAGGCGTGTGACTAAATTAGCGACCCTGGGCGAGACTGCTGGTACCTGCTCAAGCCTGAGTTCACGTCGCTGAGCATTGTCAAACTGCTGCTGGTACACACTCACTCTTGCACACCCCTGGGGACATCGACCCTCTTAGACCTCTCACCCATCCACCAGGGGGATTGAGCCTGCCTGTCAGTCCGCTACACGGGAAAAACGAGGGGTGGGATGGAGGGAACGACGGATGGATGAGCACAAAATTAGACCTTGGAGGGATGAAAGCGGTCGAAATGGATAGGAAGAAGACGGGAACATCAGAAAAGCCGAATGTAGGGAAGACGGGGGGATAAGGGATGAATGAAGAGAGGCAGCTGGAAGAAAAATGGAGCAACAGACAGAAGGGCAAAAGAAGAGGAGGAAATAGAGAGTGGTGGGGTGAGGTCAGAGAGAAAAGACCCCATCATGAGCATGAGTGGCTGCGTCGTGGCTTCTTGCCACCCTGCTAAAGCTAACCAGCGTTCCCGGTCTTTAAACTTTGAGCACATGGAGTAGCTTCATCTGGCGGTGGCTGTGTTTTGATGGTCAGTCCGCTGCCAACCAGGGCTTTGTTTTTCTCTTATGCGTTAACCGACTGGCTTGTTGCTCAAGTAGCTCCCCTCTGTATATTAATTAAACAGTGTGTGTCATATTTTATACTTCTTGAAATAGCTTTAATAGCTTAAATCTCACTGCTGTCTTCAACAAACATGTCAAGTGTGTAGCTGTCAGTACATATATCGACCACAGAGTCATCTCAGACAAGAGAACTTTTCTCTAGCTCCACCAGTAAGTGTAAATCCAGTATTCTGCTCTTTGTATTGCTCTTGCTAACAGATATTTGGAAAAGGGCTTCACCGGCGCATGAAGGTTTAGCTGAGAAACATTTTTTCACATCTGAGAAGTGTATAAATAACATGCGAGGCAGGGTTTCACACTGTGGACCTATTATAGCACCGAGTCAAATGAACACACCCTACCACACACCACGGCTAATCGAAGAAAGATGAGTTGTCAGCAGGCATTTGAAAGATTATTCATTGTGTTGACTTCATTACCAAAAACTATGAGTAAATATGGCCGTCAACGTCCTCTTGATTCAACAAAATCTCTCTTTATTTCCGTTGACAAAAAAAATGGAGACAAAATGTTACAGATTAGCTTCATGTCACCGGCTTCCATTGAAAATGACTCGCAGTCTGTTGTGCCAGTTGTAGTGTCAACGCAGCATAAGACTGCGTCCAAAATTGTATACAATGCACTACATACTGTGGAAGCTGTACAGATGTTGTGCTCCAGTGGTGATCGTCGCTGTTCTACAGTAAGTATTGTCTTTCTTCCAACTGACCTCTGTCTCCATGATAGGCTACGGGCGCAATGATGATATAAGGTCATTGGACACAACAAGAAGGTAGGCTAAATGTCAGTGGCTAATTGTTCTGCCATGTCCTCACGCAGACATGAACCACAATAGAACCCATAGCCGAACTTTAACCTTTTCTAAAACGTAGTCAGGCGGCATTCCAACCTGTGGTCAGTGACAACACAACAACATCGCCCTCCCGTCCCCACATAAGAATCTCCGCTGCGTTCACATTACAAATGCTAACAGCAGGGCTTGTTGGGACGTACTGTAATTCCCCCTGAACACTGAAGGAGACAAGACAAGCACCTAATCAAGCAACAAGCCATTGGTTAAGGAGCGTAGAGAGGCTAATTGGATGAGACCATGTGAACAAAACATTTTGATCTGCGTCCCGGTCGGTTTCTACAAAGAAACACAAGTGAAAACAGACAAGAGCCGTCTCCTCTGGTCACACTTGGCCTGATCACAGCTAGTCTCTCTCTCTCTCTCTCTCTCTCTCTCTCTCTCTCTCTCTCTGTCTCTCTCTCTGTCTCTCTCT